ACGCTCGAGCGTACAACGCTGCACAGGAAAATACTGAATGGGTGTATTACCCGCTCGAGCGCCAACACCTCCGCTCGAGCGTACAGGCCAAAAATCTGGGCAACTAGTTTTGGTTTCTAAACTCAACCAACCTGAAACAAATCCGCCCAACACATCCTATAACTCAAATACGAAGTAAAAGGATGTAAACAAAATAATAAACAACTACCAACATCCACGGACACATGTCCGGATCACGGTATAACAAGGGTAAACCCGGGATCGCTATAAAAAGTGGTCTACGACCACAAAAAATGGTCTCCCGGACCACAGTGTCCATCTAGGCAGAGGCAACAAGGTGTGGTTCAAAAACCACGCCAAAAGGAGAACGTTAAGCGATCCCGAAACAAGGCGCGCGGCCGAAGACTCCGAAAATCAGAAACTAGTCTCCAAGTGGGAAAAGTGGTCTACGACCACAAAAGTGTGGTCTACAGACCTCTCCCTCCCCTCCAGGCAAGGAAAACAAGGTTTGTACCAAAAACAAACCAAAAAGGATGCAAAACGAAAGTCCGGGAGGCAAGACGTGCAGCCGAAAGCCTCGAAAACTAGTTTACCGGCACTAAAAGTGGTCTCCCGGACCACAGTGTCCCCCTAGGCAGAGGCAACAAGGTGTGGTTCAAAAACCACGCCAAAAGAAGAATGTTAAACGGTCCCGAAACAAGGCGCGCGGTCGAAGACTCCGAAAATTAGAAACTAGTCTCCAAGCGGGAAAAGTGGTCTACGACCACGAAAGGGTGGTCTACAGACCTCTCCCTCCCCTCCAGGCAAGGAAAACAAGGCTTGGTCCACAAACCGAGCCAAAACACAAAGAGTTCAGAGGCCCGGAGGCAAGGCACTCAGCCAAAAACTTCAGAAACTCGAAATGAGCACAAACATGCGCGATCACCGAGCGCTCAATCGATGACGTCTGAGTCTTAAGGTCGGTCAAAAATGGGGTGTCTACACATAGCTTGGAAGGACATGGAGCCAAGAGCTTTCTTTTATTTATTTGATGTAATTATTTTTGTACAAGCCTTGGGCTTTCACTATATTGAGTTGAACTCATTTGGTTGTACCCAAGCATGGACTTGGAAAAATGTAACCATTAGGGCATAAATCTTACTTGAGCTTTCTTTTATTTCAATTCATATACACAGGTCATATGCTATAGATTCAGGATCTAGGATTTATGAATGTATACACGCATATGTCATCTTTTGTATGAACAAGGAGTATAAATGGAAATATCATATATGATGTTATTGATCAATTCTACAAGATGTTATGATGTGGGTGATTATCATTATTTCAGGGCGTTACACCTTGGGCTTTATTTTTATTGAGTTTAACTCACTTTTGTTGTACCCAATGTACATCCTTTGTTAAATTCATTTACAATTGGCATATGCTATATATTCAGGATTACGATTTATGAATGTATACACACTTATCACTACAAGAAATAAGGGTTTTGGCGACGTTTTTTTAACGGCGTTTTCTTAAACGTCATTTTTATTAATATTTAACGACGTTTTAAAAACGTCGCATATTTGTTTAATTAAAACGACACCGTTTTATGATCAAAGGCGTTTAAAAAATGCCTTCAAATGCGGTACGTCACACGCGCTTATTTTGAATCTGATAATAAAGCCTTTGTAAACCCTTAGGTCTTCAGACCTCTCAATCCTCTCTAACCCTTATCCTCACGTCGCCTCTCTCTCAATCCTCTCTAAACATTGAATCTCACATTCAAATCTCACAGATTCACCAATTTCGAAGCTCTACCTCCACCGCCATCTGCACCGGCGAGGTAGCGAGATTCATCGATTCACCGATTTCATAGATTCACCGATTCAAATCTCACAGATTCACCGATTTCAGATCGATCTGCATCGCCACCGCGATTTCGATTCAGATCGGTCTGCACTGCCACCCCGATTTCGATTCTCTCTCTAGATCTCTCTCTCAGAGATTCATCTTTGATTTCATCTCAGAGCGATTTTGATTTCTCTTCTCTCTCAATTTCAAAGCTCCACCGCCACCACCATCTATGCAAGCTTCCATGGCTTAGCACCTCATCTTCTTATCTCTTCTACTTTGTATATACATATACATATATGTATATTTATCGATTCTCTCATGTACATACACGTATCTGTATAGACACCGATCGATAATGGAGCAGAGCTTCTTCGATTTGATCTATTTTCTACACTGCCCCGGCCTCGCCGAGACATTCCTTGACGCTTTACTCTCCTCAGTCCCGATTTGGCTCGCTGTCATGATCGGCCTTGTTATCGGTTGGTCCTGGCGCCCTAGGTGGACCGATTTGGCTCACTGTTATTCCTCAAGGATTTTTAGTTGTTAATGATATGATATGAATGTTTTCAGCTGATTTACCCGCTAGATAAATTCTAATTCTGAGCAGTCTGATGTTCAGAATTTTATTTGTTGGATAATCATAAAGTTGGCTTTCACCTTATTACATGGAGTCTAAATGTTGTCATTTTTGGATTTGTAGACTGTTGTTCATCGAAGTTTTGCAGTAGTAGATAATCTTGGTGAAGTTTCTGCAAACGCACAGGTTATAGATTTCCTATCATATGCAGTGTATTGTGCTTTGTATCTTATTTATATAACTGAAATGATCTTTGGTTGGGTTTCTGATTCAAACAGTGTGCTTCGATAGCCTTGGTCTTATGCTTGTGCCTTGAACATTTTGTTCAGAAACAATCTAAGGTTTTTACTTTTCATCTTCAGATTTTAAATAAGTTCCATAGTGCCACTGTTAATCTTCATCAAATTGATATTCTATGATTGTCCCAGCCTTTTGTGATAGCTAAGTTGACCATATTGTACATCTTACTATTGCAATTCAACATTATAGAATTCGTTTCCCCTGTTTACATTATATTGCAATATGTTTAATATTGATTAGTTTGCTAAAAATTTCTGTTTTATATAACATGTGCTCCCCATGAATATGTGATTGAAAGGTATAAAAAATTTATGACTTTTTAACTGATGTGATGTATCCAATTTGCTGATGTGATGGTGGCACTTATGCTTTACTTGGCTCCCTAATTGATAATTTTTCATTAATATGAAAGGTTGCAAGCAAGTTTGCCTTTTGTTGTGTGCCCAATCTTCTCAGCAATCGACCTCATTGGAGTTTATCAAGGTTTGAAGCATGTTCATCTACAGACATTAACTAAGGTTGGCCTTTTATGCTTGTACTAAACTAACAGTCATTCTGTTGACATTATTGGGTGTGTATATGAGAACTTCAATAAAGGTGTTGCTCACATATTGAGACTACTTTGTGTTTTTAAAGAATGTAAATTTTGCTCCCTATTTGATGAGTTCCCCTCATGTACTATCTCGAGTTTTTGGCTTTAGTCTCCCATAGGTAAGTTGTGCCTGACAAGCTAATGCTCAAAAAATGTTTTATTGATAGATTCCTAAAAATGTTTGGATATCATGCCTCCATTAGATAACTTGTTTATGCATTACATTCTCTTGATTTTTTTTTTCCTTCATTAATCAACCCTTTTTTTTTTTGGTTGTCTTGCTATCAAAATTCAAAACCAGTTTCAATAGGTAATCAGTAATTACTGTGCCATTGCCTGCAACAAACCACATCATTTTTATTGTGCCATTGCTTGCTTCAAGCCACCCACAGAAACAAATTCCCCAACTCCTTTGTGTGATGTTCTTGGAAATGAGTCCCCGTTGGAGTACATATTCTCCAACAATGCTCCATTGTTTCAGGGATGAAGGAAATGTCTGTATTCTCTTTAGAATGCTTTGTAGTATTGCTTCTTATTATCCATTTCTCGTTGTCAAGATAGGCTTGAGATTATAATTAATACTTGGATTCAGTTGGGATGTATTCCTTCACCAGCAGATGTGAGTGAAGAGGAAGGTATTGATTTCATGTGGAACAAAGGTGAGGTCTTGCACCTTAATTTTTCCATAAATATGTTTATTGCTTTTATATGGGGTGCTTTAGAATTGGATACTGGCATTTAGTGAGATTTGGATTAGGCAGAGGATCGTGGCCCATAAGAATTGGTTGCTTAAACCCCAAAAGTCAATTACCAAGGTTGTCGATGATGACTATACGATCTTTGAATAATGAAGACTTCTATTTCATATGTCCGGAGATCCTTTGCAGTGGAATGGAAAAAACTTGGCAAGTGAGTATATTATGATCTGTCTGGCCCTCCTTCCTTACCTTGCTTATGATCTGTCTGGCCCTGTAGTTTGCGCATTTGGGTTCTTCTGCTACTTTCCATAAATTGGTTTATTCCACTATTTCTTGTATTTAATTATTCTGTTACTAACTTGTGTTTAGGTCAAGAATTCAAACAGAGCATCGGTTATCAGTTATTGAGGTACTCTTTTCTGGATAATGTTGTTACCTGTATATTTTTTTATTGTTGTACCTTTTCCACACCACAAGATTCATGTTCTCTACTTTTCCTTCTAAACCCGTATCAAAGATTGACCTTTTCTCTCTTAAAAATCACAGGTGTTCCTCTGTTTTTGATGCCAATATCCACACACCAGGTTTTTCCCATTTAAACCCACATATATGTGTCTCTTTGTGTTTTTATGTATATATTTTTGTTTGAAGGGTTATTGAGAGTATGGTGTTTTGAATTGCTTTAGTTTCTCAACTTTATGGGGAGATCCTAGAAGATAATGGTATTGACTTGGCAGAAATGAAGGTTTTGAGGAGGAAGATGGAGGAGATAGCAATCTTTGTAAAGCAGGGCAGTACTACCACTTAATTTGCCCAATTAGTTAAAAGTACATTAAACATGGTGTGTTATATATTTGTTTATTAAAACAGAAGAAAAGTGGATTGGATCATTCTTTTTTCTTCCAGTATAAATGTTTATTTATGTTTTGCTTTTCTTTTTACTGTAGTGCAAAGGTGGGGATTCAGAGGAGAAGAGCTTATCCCTTTATATCACTACAAATGGGTAAATTGTCCGTATTTCTTTTATTATTTTTTTCTGTTTTCTTGCTTGGCAAAACCCTATATACATGCAGTAGCTGCAAGTAATGGATATTTTCCACCAAACATCTCATCCACATCTCTGTCACTAAACCTTATTTTAGATTGGAGACGTAGACTCTTTCGGTATGATATACAACTTCTTTATTTCAATCCATGAATACAAGAGAAAGAAATGCCTTCATTTAAAGTTGCTTTTATTAATCCTAACTTACAATTTTCTCAAGCGAACGATGAATCCTGGGTAATTTTTAGCAACTGATAATCCTTCTATTTTGATTTTTGTTTCTAGGCTCATGTCCCCACAAAGTAAATTTAGATATCATGTAAAAGGTTTTGAAACTAATAGAGAACACTAATATAGTTTCCTATAAATAAAAAAAATTATCCTGATCTGATCCCAAGTTCCTGTTTATTTGATATTAATTTCTCCTTTTATTTTTCAATTGAGAACGTTGACTATTTTTTTATGATTTGTCCAATAAACAGAAGGAAAATACTACTACTCTAGTACATATATTGTTTGTTTTTTCCTTTATTGGTAACAAATGAAATTTTATTAAAGAAAATAAAAAGTGGAATCCCCTTAAAAGGAGGAGAAACCGAAGCCTAAAATGAGGACAAATCTCCCATAAAGAATCAATTTCCTCGAACTTATACACTCTAGTACATATATTGTTAAAGGAACTAATCTCATGATTACTCTTGATCAGATTAAATTGTCCAGAAGCAGCCATGCAAAGTTTACAGTTGGCTCGCCAACACGCATCAAGTGAATATGAACGTTTAGTTTATGAGGGATGGATCTTATATGATATGGGTCATTGTCAGGAAGGGCTACGGAAAGCAGAGGACTCTACAAGTCTTATGAGATCTTTTGAGGCCTTCTTTTTGAAAGCCTATGCATTGGCAGATTCTAGCCATGGTTCATTTTGTTCTTCTACTGTCATATCACTTCTTCAAGATGCCTTGAAGTGCCCCTCAGATCGGCTTCGAAAGGGTCAGGTATGGTTTTCTCTTACCCTATATTTCATCGAGGCTGCAACTTGCAATACAATTAATCATTATGGAATAGTCATCTAGAATAGTAGTTACGCTCCGTTTGTTTGGGTGGAAAGTGTTTTTTGGAAAACTTTTTCCATATTTTCTGGCATTTGTACGATGGAAAATGAAAGTCAATAGAAAAAAAACTTTTGAGTGGAAAAATGTTTTCCACTGTTGAAAGGTGGGAAATGTTTTCTAAACTACAGTCTTACCAATGTCACCACACTACTGCTGCTACCACCTCCACCACAACTGCAACCCCAACCTCACCACTACCACTATCAACCAGACATTGGAAAATGTTTGCTCAACACTGTACATTTTAAGATCATACCTGACCCTTTCCTTATAGATATCGGGCTGCAGGTTAGACATTTTCCTACAGTTTCTTTAGTAAATTTTAAGGCTTTCTATTTGATGTTGCCATGAAGCAAGCTCAAAAGTACCTGTTAGTTCCTCAACACCGTAGGTTTTGATGTGTGTGTGTGTGTGTCTGTGTGTGTGTGTGTTTGCGTGTGTGTGTGTTCTCTCTGCAAGGAAAATGATTTTGGTTGGAATCAGAAGTCATGAATTTTATTTGTTGTATTTCAAATAATTTTGGACCCTTTGATTTGAAGATCACATCCCTCACTTTTTGAGAGCGATCAGATATTTAAAAAAAATGATTCTTCTTTTTCTTCGCCAAAGCTTGGTAGTCCGAATTTTCATAGCCCGAATAGCTCGAATGTCTCAAAACGACGTCGTTTTAAAACAACATCGTTTTGGGGATAAAACGACGTCGTTTTGATACATTCGAGCCATTTGGACGACACAAATTCAAGTTACCAAACATTTTTCTTAACATTATTATCGTGTAAAGTTGTTTTCATGTTATTTGGTATTGAACCGGATTGTGTTTTTTTGTTTTTGGGTTTGGTTAGTGTTGATGGACAACCACAAGGAAAAAGAAGCGATAGCGGAATTGTCAAGAGCAATTGCATTCAAAGCGGACCTCAACCTGCTACACTTGAGGGCAGCATTTCACGAGCATATCGGTGATGTTATGGGTGCCTTGCGAGACTATCGAGTTGCTGTCTCTGTTGACCCAAACCATGAGATGCTGGAACTTCACAGCAGTCAAGAGCCATGAACCCCCAAAACACAAAATAGAATAAAAAAAAATGGACTGTCCATGTTTATCTTCTTTATAATTTTTTGGTAATCAATATCATGGACTGTCCTCACCACTGTTTCCTTCATACTTTTCCAAATGGC